CCTTTTTTGGCAAAAAATAATCTTTGAACCATCTGAGGAACAATTCACTGTTGATGTACGACGACTTAGGGTTCATAAATACGTCGGAACCAGGCGGAAGTCCGTCAGAGAACTCTTCTTTCCTGTTTTTTCCCTTGAATATTAAAACAGGTTTCATAAAATAGCCTTCTGCGTTGCAACAGCCAATCAAAGAAATGTTTTCACCTCTTTCGGTGCTGGTTATCGAATAAACATCTTTGGCACCTTTTGTTGCCACTACCTTTTCCGGTTTATTGTTGACTTGAATTCCCGTCTCGTCGACATTAAATATTTTTCCAGGTTTATGAAGCAAATCATTCGTAGTCAGAATTTCCAATAACAATTGAAAATAATTTTTTACATCATTTCTGTTCATACCTTTGGCCCTGGCTACAGACAGACCTTCTGACTTGCGTATTGAAAGCTCTTTATTGCGGCGCAGAAATGCCCGAAACCAATCATCACCAGCTGATCGATTTTCTCTTGAAAATCTGTGGGTAATTCCGAGTTTCTCGGCAAATTCAAAAGCCATTTTTTTCACGCTAGCAGCATCGGGTGCAAAACCCACTTTTTCCAGTTCTTTTACGTGCTTGACAAGTCTTTGTTCATGCTGAAACCCCAACTCTGGACAACGCCCCAAACGTACCTTTGCATCTGCTTTTGTTAAATGCCTTCTGATGGTACGCGAAGCTATTCCATAGACTCTGCTAGCCTCGTTGGTGCCCATTCGACCAGTAGATATCATTTCCATTGCCTCTCCTAAAGTTTCTTCGCTCCAGTTGGCTCTTGTTGTTTTCCTCACGTATTTTTTCCCCATTTTGTATACTAAAATATAGAAAAACGATGTTGAAAAAGGTATTTCTACGTGGGGCTTATTTGCCTGGTTTTGATGGGGCGTTTTTAAAAAATGCTGGTGAAAATGGCCCCAGCAGTCCATCGAACTAGAAAAATGCACCAACAATGCGGTGCACAGTGTATTTGATAGGTTATGTTTACCAGTTGCCCACAACACAGTCAGGTTTTGCAAAAACATTTACGCTGAAGTGAAATTAATAAATGTTGGAACTCATGCACAAAGTTTGCTGACTTCCTAAACTATATTTTCACTTAAAAACTATTTTCTAAAACAGAAAACAGATTCAATGTGCGTGCAACATTTATACATCGTCAGCAATGTCTGTCTGCTTGCACATTTACAGCTAGTGCTTCCATCTATGTCACAGAAGTTGTACTTTGATGCAGTGGGGCATTTTCCCCGCTGGGGCGTATTTCACCATTTTACCCTACTTAATAATTCACCTACGTAAATCACGGATTTTACTGTCATTATGAAATGTAAACTGTGTGCCAAATACATAAGGTAAATTAAAATCTCCAAAGTTTGTATTTAAATTAAAATCCCCATCTATAATTTCGTATATATCAACAAAATCTTAAAAAAATTGAGAATTTGACTGTGGTGCCATATACGTACAGTTAAAAATAAAAGAATTACCATGTATATTAACATGTTTCTAAATAAGTTTCTACTTTAATTAAAGAACTTTAAAATTTTTTAAGTACTGCTATTAACACACCTCCACCTCGTTGCTTACCTGTTTCTTCACTCCGCCTATCTTTCCTACAAACTACATATCTCTCGTCAAATAGTTCAGAATCCCGAATATCATTAGTAAGCCAGGTTTCTGTTAACAGTAATAAATCATAATTTTCAGATATTAAATTTCTGTAAAAATTAATTGTCTTGGTTCTAAGTCCCCTGCAGTTTTGATAATAAATTCTAAGAGTGTCAGGTTCACATTTTACATGTGTTTTAACACTAGTTAAACCAAAGTGTCTAGTTTAGTAACAACCAAAGTGTCTTAATGTACTGCATGCATACACATTGTCAACCAGCTTGTTCTTCATCAAGTTATTCATTTTGATAAAAATTCTTTTTAATGATAGGGTTTGCTTTACTTTCACTGTTCATATTATTCGGTGTTATTTTATTTGACCAATTTAACTAAATGAGAAGTAATTTTAAATTTCTACAAAGTACTCTTCTTGTTTTAATTCAGGATATGCCATTAAAACTATGACACGTATACGGTTTACGCACCGCTACATTTTAGTGTTGCTATTAGACACTTCAAATTACCAGTTTCCGAGTAAATCCATACGGCCACTATTTTCTTCGGAGAAACTTGTGGGGTTTTGTTTATTCTTCTCCATTCGAAACCCGTGAAGATTTGTGGAATGGTATTATAAATAAACACAATATGATACGATATAATATGAGACAAATTGTAGTGAGCTTTAAATTTCGGCAAAGACTAAATGTATTTCTTAGAGAATGGATTTTATTGTCCAATGAATCTAAATCGTTGCCTTATTTTGTGCCTCCTATGCATCTATCTTGGTCAATTAGTTTAGAAATTACCCTGTGTGTTCATTATTTATCGTTTATTTTTTTGATAACAAAGTATTGTGGCATTATTGTACACTGAAAGAAATAGGCTTATTAAATTGTTTCTCTAGAATAATGTTTATAGCGTATATTAAATCTTTTATAACAAAAATGCAATTTTTATTCAAAATCTCCTTACTCATTATTCAATAAGTTTAATTGAAAAGCGCTTAATGAATCTATGAAATAAAGATTATAATGGATAAGTATCCGCCTTGTATCGACTGTTACGCTTCTTTTAGATGGATGAGAAATGACGGTATAGACACATGTTTCGTGGGCACAACGCGATACGATCATGTAGATCGTATCCCGTTGTGTGAAGGAGAAAATTTGGTATATAATTATCTAACTGTTTTATGGTTTGGAATTATTTTGTTTTTTTTATATTGAAATCTTCTCTAAATTTTTAAAAATTTTATCTTGTGTGCCCTTTTAGAAACCTTAAGCTTTACATAAGATGGAGAAATAGAAGGCTACGGGTGACAATGAAGAGCACGGACAAATTCAATCAGCCAGAGTAAATAGATTATATGAAAAGAAGTTCAACCTTTTAGGGGATGTCTCATTCTTAGGGTGGAAGAGTTATAGTGCAAATTTCCATATAATGTAATACAAGGAGACGCGGGTACATCGCTACTAAGAAGATAAGCTGGACAGTTTTGGTCGCCACTTATCATAATTTTTAATACTTCATTGTTCGTTATATGTTTACATTAGAATTTCAGCATGTACTTATAGTTCTACAATAAAATTTCGGAAAATTTTTCATGTTTTTAAATCATACAGAGTATACAACAGTTTAATTTCTAATAAAGACTAAAGAGTATTTCGTCCAATGTATACTTTGAATTTATCAAAGTATACTTTGAATTTATCGAAGTATACATTAAATATTTAGAAATTATTCTATTTAATGTTTACTAATATTTGTTAGACGGTAATATAGAGAGTGATATTATCGCCAACAAAAACATTAAAAATATTTAGGCTAGTCCTAAAATATTTTAATGATATGTTACGCTTTTAATTTAGTCAACATGGTTTTGTACTACAAAATTTTATCTAGTTGTAGCGGTTCCAAAGTTAATTCATATTAAAGCTTTAGTCAAATCGATCTGCATTTTAGAAACGGTTAACATCAAAGTTTGTGACTGTAAACTTTAATTCTAGGACACCCTTTAATGGATTAGTTTCAAAACATGCGTGGAATTTATGAAAATTGATTTCCCTACAACATTTATTTCTTAGCTTAATATAAAGGTCTTACAAATAAAACTACAAAAAAATATTATCTTTATTATGATTTGTATTAACTACTTTAAGAGAAAATTATTCTCTAATGATACGTTATAAGATTTTTGGAATGAGTTTTCATTAAATTTTTAAACCGCAACGCAAGTTTATGGAAACCACTTCAAATATGTAAATGTATCTAATCTGAGATATAATGTAATGATGCCGAGTTTCTTTTTAAAGTAGATACCCAATACATACTTACGTATTTAGTTCTACTTATTTATTATAGATATTAATCTCTAGAAGAACGATGACATTAATCAATTATAAAATCAGTTGGAATCAAGACTTTCTTAGACCTTGAACAATATCAGATAAAAGCAGGTAAATAATTTTAGGAATTGTTTTGTTTGTACATCAAGTAAGTGAATTTCTGGGATATACATACTGTGATGTACAAAGATGGACAGAAATTTAAAAGAATATAGGGGATTTACCGAGAATTTACTGGAGATTTACTGAGGATGTACTTGATTGAGTGCATGCGCTTTGTGTTAATTTTCTGGCATAGTCGTTCGAGGTGAGCTCCTTAACAATGAAATTTGGAACTGATTATTACAGTTACCTTTCGAATATATAAAAAATAAGTTTTAGTTACAAGAGTCTTAGACTGGGGGTAAACAGTTTTGGTCCAACTTTTTCATTCTGTACTAAACTAGCATAATTTTATAGATACTCAATATAGGTATTACTTATAAAATTATGTGAAGTTATAAATATTAAATTATTTAAAACTAAAAAAAGAATTAGGATCCATTTTCTCTCAGGAATATCCTTTTAAAGTTTATGTTTTTCTTCGTGGAACATTGTATATAAAAATATTACTACTTTTCAGTTTTTTATTTACATCTTTATTTATATTACAAGCTTTACAAACTCACATAATCACAAACGAAAACTCTTTAATCACAACTGTCGACCAAGCACCTAGTCGCTATGACCTTCTTATAAAACTCTGCTGACTCCTTAGGAGTTCTTGTTCTGTTATCATCTTCGAAATCCACATGGTAAAGACCAAATCGAACACTGTAAGCAATAACATGTGAATATTAGTAATACAGTGAATTTAGTTTCGGTCCTATCTTCCACAAAATTCAACTGAATGAAATTTTGTTATGTGGGGGTTCTGGGTATGCTAAATGCTTTGGAGTTATTAATTTTTGGCTATATCATACAGGGCGCTCAGTGCAGTACTCCGCGGGAACATTTTCGGTCCTAACTTTTTTGAGGTTAATCTTTTTGCCCCTCTTGTTGCTGTTATGGCAAATTTTATTCTAAACAAAAAAAGAGCTTTTGTATGAAATGCTAAAATTTGTCCGTTTTCGAGAAAAAACAGGCATAGTGCGTCAAAGTCAAGCAGCATCCCAAATTGTTGTTTTTTGTTTCAAGTAGGCTTGTGTCAAATGTGTCAAATTACCGTTTTATCTGCATTATCAGAACAAGTATTTATTTTAATTCGTGTACCTAATAAGAAATATCTACGGTATGAATAACGGTAGGTAATAACACAGCCCCACAAAAAAAAAGTAGCAGGTCCGAAAGACAAGACCATGGTATCCATATGATTTTGGGGTCGCTGAATCCGAATCCGGTGTCCGTTTGACGCGATTAGGTCCGGTTTAAGGTCAGTTCAAGGTCAAATGTAGAAAATCAATTGTCAACAAACTAAACCTATGTATCTACACGTTTTTGGGATCGCCGAATCCGAATCCGGGGTCGGTTTGACGCGATTAGCTCTTGTTTAAGGTCAGTTCAAGGTCAAATGTAGAAAACCAATTGTCAACAAACTAAACCTACGTATCTATACGTTTTTAGAGCCGCCGAATCCGAATCCGGTGTTCGTTTGACTCGATCAGATCTGGTTTATGTTAAGTTCAAAGTCAAATGGAAAGCCAGTTATGTTGTTCGTATTTGATCCTCTGTAAGACTTTCCTCAAAATAAGGCACTCTTGTTTCAATGTGCGCTAGGTTTATAACATCCACGTTGAAGTGATTTATCCAACAATATCATTGTAGTAACCTAAGGAAAATTCTTCATCGTTAGAAAAATATTCCTTATTTTTGTACTGATAGTAAAAAGCTTTCACTTTTCCGGCTTGCTTAGTATTTTTTTAGCCATAATATTAGGAACTCGGCTCCATTCTCTGCCAGAATCAAATCTCGAACATCATTTACTTTTTTTTTGTGATATTGTTTCTGTCTTTTTCACAACGTGATATAGAATATATTCGTCATCACTAACAATATCATTGCCACCCAAAATTTTTTTTTCATAGTTTAATTGCCACCCAAATTTCTCCCTGCTTTAATATCTTGGTGAAACCTTTCTCTCTGCTCAAACCCAATCAAATTTTTCACTTAGGTTTAAAACCAAAATATTTATATAAGTATCTTTCGTATGCTAATTGATCTATTTCTATTAGAAAGTATTTAATAGACCTGATCGCTTCAAACGGACATCAGATTCGGATTCAATGGCCCCCAAAACGTATAGATATCTAAGTTTACTTTGTTTTCAATTGATTCTCCACATTTGACCTTGAACTGACCTCAACCCAGATCTGATTGAGTCAAAAGGACATCAGATTCGGATTCGGCAACCCCAAGAACTTATAGATATGTAGATTAACTTTGTTGGCAATTGATTCTCTACATTTGACCTTGAACTGAACTTAAACGCTAATTGCGTCAAACGGACACCGGATTCGGATTCGACGACCCCAAAAACGTATAGACACATAGGTTTAGTTTGTTGACAATTGATTTTCTACATTTGACCTTGAACTGACCTTAAACCAGAGCTAATCGCGTCAAACGGACACCGGATTCGGATTCGGCGACCCCAAAAACGATATATAGGTTGAAAAATAAATATATAGGTTTAGGTTGTTGACAATTGATTTTCTATATTTGACCTTGAACTGACCTTTAACCAGAGCTAATCGTGTCAAACGGACACCGGATTCGGATTCAGCGACCCCAAAACCATATGGATACCATAGTCTTGTCTTTCGGACCTGCCATTTTTTTTTGTGGGGCTGTGTAATTATTCAAACTCGGAATATACCGATATGTTGCTGCAAATGTTTATGGAACAGTTTTGCTGCTGTAAGGCAATATTCGAAAAAATTTTCTGGTTGCAGATTACCAAATAGAAATATATTTTTGGCCGCTGAAAGGAGATGCCGGGAGACAGGCTCGTTTAAGTCAAAAGAGGTAAATTCGAGACGACAAGGACTGCTGAAAAAGAGGAAAATATATTAGATATGGTATTTCAGGAGTTCTCAGTGAGTATCAGAAAATTATAACAAAGAGCAAATGTGTCCGTGTGTGGTATTGGGGAAATTTTAAAAGAGCAACAGTTACACCCATATCATTATACAAAAGTGCAAAAGTTATTTCCAAATTATTACGAGCCGAACAGATTTTTGTCGATTGGTGGAAGAAAGATAAAACGAAAATTCGAATTTTCTACGATCTATCCTTTTTACGGACGAAGCGACTTTCTCTCGAAGAGGAGTGTTTAATACTCATAATGAGCATCTGTGGACTGAAGAAAATCCTAGGGCCATTTAAAGTAAATGTTTGAGCTGCCACGATGGGGAATCAGTTAATAGTATACCACATTCTGGATGCTATTTAAATGACACCAAGTATTTATATTTTTTAAGAAATAGTCTGTTCGAAATTATTGATGATATTTCACTATTAGCTAATAATAAGTATTATTTCATGCATGATGGCACTCCACCACATCTTACTCGAGTATGCAGAGAATGGCTTCATGAAAATTTTCTTAAGCGATGGATTGGTCGAGGTGCAGATGCTCCAATTCACTAGCCTCCAAGGTCTTCAGACCTTAAATCCCCCTGATTGTGTAGTTTGGAGGTATGCCAAACAAAAATTTTATGAAAAATACATTGTTTTCATTACAAAAATGAATTCGTTCGTTCATGAAAATGGAGGACATTTCGAACACTTATTCTGATTTAATTTTCCTTAATTTTCTATTAGTAATAATTAGTCCTTCTTGTTGTTTTTCTTTTTTTCAACTGTATTCAGTATGTCTTAAACTTTTCTAGAAATAAACTAATTATTACTTTTTATAATTGAAAGAATAACTTTGGTTTTGAGTTTTATTAATGAAACTAATAGTAGTAATAATAACTAGGTGCCAAAGCCTACTTGAAATAAAAAACAATAATTTGATATATCAGCTGCTTGACTTTGGCGCACTATGCCTGGTTTTTCTCGAAAACGGGCAAATTTTAGCACTTCTTACAAGTGTACCTTTTTTATTTAGAATAAAATTTGCCATAACAGCAAATGTCAAAAAGGGCAAAAAGATTAACCTCAAAAAGGACATAAAATGTTCTTGCGGAGTACTGCACTGAACGTCCTGTATGATATAGCCAAAGACAACTCCAGAGCATTTAGCATCCCCAGAAACCCAACAACAAAATTTGAGTTAATTCGGTCGAATTTTAGGACCGAAACTAGATTCTAAAAAATTATTTTCAACGCCCTGTATCTTGAAAACGAAAAAAGATACGCCCATAGGAACAAATTGTAATATTTTTTGTAATTCTATCAGACCCTGAATTTATGCTAGTGTTTTTCAGAATACCCAGTATATATAATAAATTGCTGGAATAATAAGGTTGATGTTGATATTATATCGGAACGTTTTTGTTAAATTCTAACATCCATCGCCTTAAATAGCTTCACAAGATTTAAGTACGTGTTAAGTTCCTTCTGCCTATGGATGTATTGCTGACTGTACTATGTAGATTAGTATTTCAGCCTGCAACTTCAATATTATGTCTAGGTATGTATAATCCTGCATCTTTACAATCTAATAACTGTGTCCATCAAGACAGTGGAAAATATAAAATATTTTAAATCTGTTTTTATTTATTGTCCATTACCCACCTACCCCTGTAAGTTGGCATAAAAGGAAATATTTGTGTACTATCTTCTTGTGTGGGTTGACGCTTAAGTTAATTTTTTTTTATTTGCCATCTGATAACTTCTGCTTTAAAACATTTATTATAACAGATGCAGAATAATCAATAATAATAGTTATTAAACAACGTTAAGTAATATGGACATTTTTATTATTTCGGCTTTATTATTTCGGTTGCATACACATTCAATAAATTATTTATACATTCTTAACTCATCCTTTCGTTTTTTAGACATAAATATTAAAAAATAATAGGTATATGCTTTGGTAAAAATTATTCAAATGTTACAATTTTATCATGTGTAAACTATTAGCAGCTATTTTTATGAAATTATCTTTTGGTTATCGAAAAGTGAAGAGTTTACTGATGGTAGTGATAATATATCTGCCGTATTATAGAAATACCACAGACAAAATAGCTATCGCCACAGACCGCTACTCGAATAGGCCAGCAGTTTTAAATTCCCGAATTGCCGGTAGAGTACACCACCAGCAGAATTTTAGGAAGAATCAAATGCAGCGGCCCGCATACCTACGCGTATCCTAACAACATATAAACAAGACTTTGGTAATGTTGCCAGACGTACTTACTTACGGATTTCTTTTGTACACTTTTTTATCAATATCTGTTTTTTGCGTTACTGTATTTACTTAAATGTATGATGCAGGTATTGATACAAATGTTTTTAAAGAATCAACGAATATCTATGTATGTAGTTTCATATGATATTCTGCAGCGGTGTTACAATTAAGTTATTTAATCATCATTTCGTTAATTAGCTACCTACTATTATTTTCATATTTTGAAATAAACAAAATTCGTAATGATATTTTAAACAGCTTATAATGTAACTTTTTAGTATTTGATGATGACGATAAATTTATTTAATATATAAGGTGGGTTATTAGTACGTCGCGGAATGTAGGTACAGTTTTTTTTTTGTATTTTGACAACCACTTATAGGTTTAATAAATTAAAGATAGAAAGAAACTTTAAAACACATGTACGACTTTTCGTTTATTTCTTTTGACATCAAAATTGCTGGCATAAAATATATATATTTAAAATAAAAAATCATTAAAACAATTAAAATTCATCCTTATGAAAATAACAAACAACGATTTTTATAACTAACCTTTACAACAACATAAGGAGAATACTTAAAAACGAAATAACATTAAAATACCTACAATTTCTACAAATCAACATGCAAGTAATAATTGTGATGATACAGTTGAAAATAAGTATTAATTTACTATTAATTGCTTCAAAAACAAATTCAAAATTATCAAACATTTCGTCCTGTATTTTTCTTTCAATACTTGTAAATTTTCAGGTCTAATAATATATTGTGTTAAAGTGTCCCCACAAAAAAAATTGTATAAAGGACTGAGATCGGGGCTGTTTTCTGGCCACCTAAGGTTTCTAATAATATTTTTAGTGTTCGTTGACGGAAATCTTCCTCCAAAATAAATTTGCCAATATTCCTGAAGAACTTTTGCACATTACTGTTATTTAAATAATACAGTTTTATTTTTCGTCATCAGAATAACCCATTGAAATTTTTTTTTAATTTTTTAAATTAAAATGATAGATATTTTATGATAGGTATTTTTAAAAGAAAAATCTCCCCACCCCCCGGGTTCTGTATGTTCCTTCTGCGTTGAATGCAAGAGGTCCGAAGTCCGTATGTCGAAAATAAATTTTGGAAACAAGAGGTGTGTGACGTGATATAGTAAAAAGGCCGTATAACTCGGAAACGGTGCGTTAAAACGAAAAAATCTCCCCACACCCCTGGTTCTGTATGTCAGTTCTGCGTTGAATGCAAAAGGTCCGAAGCCCTTATGTCGAAAATAAATTTTAGAAACAAGAGGTGTGTGACGTCACAGAGTAAAAAGGCCGTATAACTAGGAAAAGGTGCGTTGAATCGAAAAAATAATTAAAAAAATCTCCCCACATTCGTGGTTCTGATTGTCCATTCTGCGTTGAATGGAAAAGGTCCGAAGTCCGTATGTCGAAAAACAAAAAGGTTAGTCAAAAATTGCAACAGCAGTAGCGAACGCATTATTTTATCTCTTTATTGATTGATGATTTGTTGTTTTTTTTTTAAATAAATTTCGTATTCAACTACTCCTTGAGGTTCCAGCAATTTTACATTGTGTTAATTTTTTTGAACACCTTGTGTCACAAATATGAGCACTACCAATGGCATCCATGATATGCAACACTTGTGCCAATAATTATTTTACCTATCTAAAGAAATCAACAATAAGAGAGCGCAGTACCCATCTAAGGATACACAACCTGTATAATGCAATTATTTTAAATATAGGTGTTAATATGGTACCATATTGGAAGTCGACGCACAAATATAAAAACATTAATTTCAAGTTTTTGAATTCTCCCATTCCAAGGTGATATAAAATAAATAATTTATTAGGTAAATTCATAGTTTTAATTCTAACTTGATTTATTTTATGTAAAATTTAAGGCAAATGTGATTTCCAAACAAATGATAAGTCCACATCTCTTTAATTACATAATTGAAAGCATTAAATTTATTTGGCAGTTATTATTTGGCAACAAAGCCACCGCTGGAACTGCCGCCTATTAGCAAGTAGAAGAGCTACCACGCTAAATTTCATTGATGGATGCCGGCTAACAAAAGCCTGCATCCATTTCGGGTTGCCAATTTCTAGCAATTAAGAAGCAGTCTGTGGCGATAAGCTATATTGTCTGTGGAAATACTTTGTTGTTGTTTTCCAATAATGCTATTTATTCAAAACTTAATACTAACCTGTAACCGCTGTTCCATTCGAAATTATCTAATAAACTCCATGCAGTATATGCGGTCAGCTTCACTCCATCTTCGTGTATTGCTTTCAAAGCTTCACTTAGATACGTCTGCAAAATAAATGTTCCAAACTGTGTGTTCATTTTTTTTAATAACAACATATAAATTTGAATTTGATTTACTACATTCTCCTCTACACTGTTATTTCTTTAAAAACTATGTTCCGCATATATATTTTTGTACTTTGTGTGTAATTTGTTTTACCTGGTAATAATTAATTCTTCTTGTATCATTAATTGTATCTGGTTCATCTGCGTATCCTTGTTCGGTTACGGCTATCTCAGGATCGTTATAGTTTTCTTTTATATATACAAGAAGCTGTCTAAATCCTTCAGGATAAACCTGGAAGAATAATGAAATAAATATTCATTTAATCATAGGTAAATATGTTTACTTCCGTATCCGACTATAAATTCAGATTATTAGCCACATTAAATGTAACTTTCCCTGGATCCAACAAAAATACAGAACAATCATTGATTTTATTTATGTTTAGGAGCCGCTAGAGATAATCTCTCAAAATGATTTTTTCAAATCATTTAATGATTTCGCTGTGATTTCCGGAAAATAAAAATCTATCCTCTTTTACAAGTTTCAATTTTGTTTTAAATTAATCAATGCAGCTATCGTTCTCCAACTATTTTTATCTATTAAAATTTTGTATTTTATTTAGAAAATTAGGTTTAAATTAAATCAATGGAAAGAGGACAAAATAACGCCAAATTTTTTCAAGGGGACACATTCGTTGCTAGGGACACTGTTTTATAAGGTTAAGTACGCGTGATGAAACCATTAAATATCAAATACAATTTCTATTTGTTAACTAGCCTGTTATTTAACTGTTTTTTTCTTCATGCTTAGCGAACCAAAATGTTCTCACAACGTATTCCCTCAAAAAAGAAACGCACAACAATTACATACATAAGTATTATTGAGTAAAAGTAAGGTCCTTTAAATATATGTTTTTTTTTAAATGATAAGTTTAATATTCATTAATACTGCAAGGACATCAGAAAAATATTTGTTCGCCAATAATTAATTGCTGTTGGAATAAATTATTTGTAACTTTTACAATTAGAATAGTTTTAGTAAATTGGAGATTTTTGGAAGATAATGGAGTTTTATTGTTTAAATAAATAAAATCCGAAAACAGTCGAGAGACAACAGGTATTTGTAACTGATTAAATCAAACAAAATGTTTCTTTTAAATAAATAAGTAAAAATTAAATGAATTAAAAGATGTTTACCTACTACACTGTAAACAAATCGGTGTGAATAAAAGCAACGGAGTGAATCCATTGAGTGAAATTATTGAAAACATTTTCACACAATATTGACCATTTTGATAATTTTACTCATTTGTGATAATATATGAACTAAAACTGAGTACTTTCGCTCAAATATACCCGTTAAATAAATTCTGCAGATAAACTCGTATTTGGTGCACTTATAGCTAAATCCCAGTAAATGTCCTCGTTATTGAGTGACCCCACCTCATTTTATGGTTGTCGTGCATTGTCTTTGTCTATTTGCATCGTCCCTATTAGGCCATCTCGCGGCATGGTGTATGGCTTGTAGTGCTGGACAAGTGTCCGGTTAATCCGGTTATTCTGGTGAAAATTATATTTAAATGCAGTGTTTGGATTACAATAATTAAAAACAGTAATATTCCGATTAATATTTGCTTAATTAAAAGGATAGTTAAATTGTTACCTATACTTACGTATCTGCAACGGACAATATAGGTTATGGCAAGCTATTTGTCTGATCAGTTAACCAGTTCCTTTAATCGGGACCTAAAATATTATCTCTAATACATACCTGTGTAGAAACCACTGTGGCAGCTTAATAGTTTATGACTTTAACGCAATGATATTTAAATTAAAATTCAAAAAGAATATAAAGTGGTGCAAAACTACTTCACATAGTAATGAAACGGAAGCAACCACGCCCCCCCGCAACAAGCCCAACCCCCCCCCCCGTTCTAGGGTGCCGCTTCGCTTGAAATTTTCTAAGTACAAAATTACTCAGTAATAGTTAAATTTTAAATCATATTAGAGAAAAATCAACTCTTAATTAGTTTTACATACTCAGAATAGAGTCAAAAGTCACTCACTTAATAGTTAGCAGAAACTCGGATTTGAGGAAAATTCACTCACTTCTGTTGCAATTGTTTCACTCATAAAATTTACATTGTTGAGTAAAACTGAGTTAATTTGAGTGAAAGTTTTTTACAGTATCTATATAATCAAATATGGGTTGTATTAATGAGACATTTTTCTGATATAGTAAAAAATCTTATAAAAACGTTAGTATCCGATTTCGATAACGAGGAATATAGAAATGCATGTTTTTATTATTTTTTGGAGGGACCAAAGTGCAAGAAGGTGAACTCTCATCGAAGGATTAAAAGGAACTTTCGAACTTGGCATACATTCTGTGGTTGTAATAAATGAAAAATAATTCATATATTATAAAGCTATCAAATTTTGCACTAAACACTGTTTGCATTTGTTTAGAGATATTTAAAGTCAATTTAATCCAGGAACGTCTGAAAGTGACACTGAAAATAAAATGCTACACTTTAAGAAAAATTACACTTATTTTCACTCAATTCCGGTCAATAATGTGTCAATTTCTGTCCACCCGACTGAGTGAAATTTTCCTCTATTAGTGTGAGTAGGTACAACTAAAATTTTATTAGTGAAACTATTAGTTTTAGTTCAAATATTATGAAAAATGTTTAAAATTATCAAAATGTCCAATATTGATTGAAAATGTACTCAATACTTTCACTCAATGGAATCACTTAGCTTTCATTCAAACGGATTTATTTACAGTGTAATGGACCTATCACACTTATATGTAATGTACGGTATACATAGTTTGCTAAATAATTACAGAATACTGTGTTGTAGTTACGTGATGTAGGTAAGTCTGTGCAACCTGGAATGCAACCGTCAGTATGTACGAAACATCTTAAGTAAAGGTCTTCTCCTATCAATGTGAAGGGAAGAATTAATTATTGTCGCTACATGTATCTTTCTACCGCTTATGAATAAAAAGGAAAATAACATACATATTTTTACAATATTTTAAACCTTCTATGATTCCTTTATCAGTTTTTGATTTTTTTATTTCCATCTGACTGTTTTTTGCATTTATTGTCCAAAGACATGGCAAACATTTATATAATTTTTAATTATATGGTTAAAATTTGATGTCTATACAGGGTGTAGCGTGTATAACCTATAAAAATTAAACAAATATCATCAAGAAGCTGTCTTCCTGATGATATTTATAATAGAAAACTCTTATACGAAACAGTTCTTCTTCACGTTTTTTTTTTTCTAAATTAAAGTTCATTTATTCAACGAAAATGAAGGCCGACCCTGTGTTATTTATTAAAAACTTTGGAAATATTTTTATGCGACCCGAGACGCAACCTTATAATTTAAGTCTGTATAATCTAATACTAAAAGAAGGTTAGGTTACATTGTCAAAAAATTTGTGCAGTCAACTGATTTTGTATTCATTATTCACTTAATTATTAAATATTAAGTATCGTCCATCGACCTATCAGTGTTAAAAAGTGACAGATTCCAGACAAAATTTTTATTTTGTAATTCCATGATAGTGACAGTGTAATTTTTATAAAGAAGTAAAACATAAGAATAGCGTGCCTATTACATTAAAAACGAGATTCTTATAACTTTGCTTAATTTTTTTGTTTGTGCACAAACTAGTTTTACAATGCACCGAGAAAACAATGCATTTACTACTTCCCAACGTGTTGATATGGTGTTAGAGTATGGTGCAGCCGGAGAAAATGCGCTCGTGGCAACTAGGTTGTACCGGAAATGATGGCCACAACGTCACCTCCCATGTGCAAATACAATCCTACAGTGCGTTCAGCGGTTGCGAGATACATGAAGTGTTATTCCTCGAGGAGAAGGACGTGGTCAGCAAGTGAACCTTAATGTTGAAGATGCAGTGTTGGAAGATCTTGACGAATACCCCACAATTAGTACTCGACGACTTGCACAGCAAGTAGGAACCTCATCTCGTACCGTACATCACATCGTAAGGCGCCAGCTGTTGCACCCCTATCATCTGCAACCAATTCAACAGATTTTACCCCCGGATTGTGATCAACGAATACGTTTTTGCAGATGGTTTTTACGGCAATGTGCTAATCAAGACTTTCCTGCTTATGTTTGTGTAACAGATGAGGCGACATTTACCTGTGATGAAGTGAATTTCCATAAATATGCACATATGGTCCGATGAAAATCCTCACGCGATTAGGGAAACTCATTTTCAACATCGGTAAATGTTTGGGCTGGCATAATAGGCGATGTACTTATGGGTCCCTATTTCTTTTAAAGGACGACTAAATGGACTAACATATGCTGACTTTTTGGAGAACCGGTTGCCTGAATTATTGTGACAATGTGGCATTACAAGTTAAGTCACGCATGTTTTACCTTCAAATGGGGCTCCTCCACACAATACTCAAGAAATAACGACACTTTTGAATGAAATGTTTCTTCAGCGATGGATTAGACGCTCCAATGGATTTTTATCTTTGGAATCACTTGAAGTTATTGGTTTGCAATACTCCAATTGTAGTGGAAGAATTGCGAAACCGTATAGCTGCTGACAAAATTAGGGGAATACCTGGAATTTGGGAAAATATTCGCCAAAATTGGGTGCCATGCCTGTATCCCGCTAATGAGGATCAATTTCAACATTTTCTCTAGAAATGGTAAGTTTTATTTCATTTTGTTCCATATTTTAATGGAGTTTGTTTAGTGCACGCAGTGGGCAACTACAGATGCTTATGGATGTGGTTTTGTTTGCGAACTCTTGCAGCAACAACAATGCATTTAATATAGTAATTACTATTAATCATTATAATAAAAAAAATTTTTAAATATCTATTTTTCTTAGTTTGTACTTTTACATTGAAAAATTTCCCAAACATTGAGAAATATCTTTCTATCTTTCAACGACAATTTGTTTATGCGGCTGATCTACAGCACGTAACTCATCGTACAGCACACGGATAAGACCGTTCCAGAGAAAATATTTTCATCCATAATTGAACTTAATTTACGAAAAAAAAAACGCAAAAACGGAACTTTTTCGTATAAGACAAATATCGTTAGGAACCTGTAGTTTTTTATAGATTATACACACCACACCCTGTATACATATTATTTTATTATTAATGGAAGAGGAAAAGCTGTATAGTAATATCTTCACTTGACTAATGTTTAACCTTCCCAAGAAAAGGTTGGAAATGTATTGCATCACTAGTTGCACAAACTTACCTGCACCTGTGCCCACATAACAGTATTCAGTATTTATTACGCAACCTATGTCGTACAAGCAAATCGTTGTTGTGTAGTAGACTCAGTCCGTTTAAAAAACCAATAACCAATTATTTTATACTGGAATACTACACACCGCCAGCCAGCTTGCTGCCGAGCCTTCCCATGAGGGATCCTTTTTTGCATCGAGTCCATCGTCGTTTTCATAGCTAGCATCCAAAACCAATGAACTATTGTCGCTTATTATAGCACTAGTGTAGTGGTTGATGGCAATAAAATCATATGCGCCTTTTATTTGAACCCTCTCTGTAAGCGTGAATATCGGCAAACGTGTAACTGGGTATCCCTGTAGGGCACTGTAATTTCTAATGTAGTCTATCATGGTACGAGGGTAGTCTCCGTAGACCAGTGGGTTTAGGAACCATCCTAACTGAAATATAATTAATTTGATGTAATTGCATTAAGTAGATTCTTTTTGGAAGGAAATATATTGTGGGTCTAAATGATCTTTTTTTAGGTTGGAAGTTACAACTCTGTTTTAGGGAATTTTTATTCCATTGACGAATTCTCTAAACATTATTTTGTTTTGAACAATATCACAAATTACATTTGTTATGAAGTATTATAAGAACATTACATAACTTTATATTGTTTTGAAAATTCTACATTTGGGACATCGTTTGACCAAATTTCTGAGAGAGATCTGATTTGAGACAATACCTAGTGTACGTACAACAAATATATATTTTTTACTCTTTACAATGAATAAAGTAACATAAAGTAACACTTGCGTCTTGACATATTCTCTTAGGTAAGAAGGTAAGAAACAAGGTAAAAAACCAGCATTTGCTCGTCTTCGTTTGTTATAAAAATGCCTCTATACGAGATTTATTTATTTAAAAGAAGTAGGAATTATCTAAAATTGAAATATTTTTTTGTATATAGTATTTAGTATGTAGTATTTCATGTTAGTAAAATTGTAATGGAGATTTTTTTGTAACAATCATTTGGCAATGTACAGAACTACCGTAGTATAGGTTTATTGTACTGAACTTCTCATTTTAATTCAGCACCCATTCAAGTGCCATGGTGCCTTGCACTAATTTATGTGATTGTGTAGTCAAACCAATTTTTGGTTGTCCATAAAAAAACTGTCTTCTGCAGTCTAATGCTTTCAGTCGCACATGACAGGAAGCCTGTTTCTGTCGCTCTATTGCAAAGTATGCATTCCAGGTTTCCTTCATGCAACCAAATTCTGATTACTGGCCCACATATAAAACAGTGTTCTATTAGGAAACCTACCATTATATGTAACTGATTCCTGTCTAATGATAGTTCTTCAGTATTCTTCACTGATGATTTTTTGTGAAGATCTTACTATGTTCAAACCTGAATAAGTTGTTCCAGTATCTCTTCTGCAGATTGCTGATCTGTGTGTAATGTGTGTACTGTGGTTTTTAACACCAGCCCAGGGCAGGTTCCGAATGTAAGGAGTTAGCGAAGTTAGGTGAATTTATTATGGTGTGCCATAGCATTAAGTTCTCGCAAGCATTCCCATAACAGTTTGGTATTTGTTAGTGCCGTTTGGGAAGCCTGACAGTCTGTAAAATGCTTATTCCTTTGGGCCCATGTTCCCTACATTTTCGCTTGGAAGAAGGAAGTACACCAGATAATAGTTACTGACTATTTTTCTTAATTATCATCCCAAAGTTTTTCTTAAAATTAAATTTTGAAATATGGAATATTATCTAACCATATTTGTAATATATTATTCCTTAAGATTTTTAATTCTTACAAATGTTCTAGATCTACACGAATGCCTCTTGGTGTATGTGGCAGTTTGGCTGGTGAGAGGCAAGTCCAATAGAGTCTTCATAACCGGTGTTAAGTGTAGTTTTCATTGCTCTCATTACTGCTTTGAAATTAATATACTGCTTAAAACAGTAGTAGAGGTCCGCTGCTGTATCTTAATCCACTATTCAAGGGTGCATATGTCATCATGGGTCTAACAATCATGATTTATGTACAGTACATTATTTTTGGTTTAGTTTTCATAGCCTGCTTTGAGCTTGTTTGGCTAACATGAGGAAAAACTCTGACGTCTTTTTAGTTTTATTAAATTGCTGGTTCCGATTAAATCTTGCGACTAAATTGACAGAGATATTTTTGTGTTGTAGTTGGTTGCTTCCAAGTTCTAGTGGTTATTCTTCTAGCAAACGTTACTCCTTATTTTGACAATATTCATCGCCTCCTGCATTTGTGTCATTGTTGCATTGTTCAATTTACTCTGAGAAAGAACGACCAAATTATTTATATATCCCAGACATGTATATCCCCGTGGATCATGTTCTACAGTAGACGAGACAGTACTTCTCTTCCAATGCAGCAAGTCTCACCTACTCCAATTTCATGCTGACCTTCGGGAAGTACTATTTTTTTTTGTCTACACTCCTACCACATGGACAAACTGTTCTTGATATAGAGATTGGTTTATACATACCCTTGATATGCCCATCTAACAGTTTTTCTAAAGTGTTAAATATGACAGACATAATTTATTGATCTCAAAGTCTTTACTGCCTCCTACCCGAATTTGCTATGTTTGGGAATGAAACAGATTTCGATTAATCTCTAGGTCTCGGGTAGATATCTCAGTGCCAAACTTCTCCTAAGAATCGTAGAAAGCCTATTACTAAAAAATGCCATCTGGTCCTAACGACTTATATGAATCGAATAAATTTATTTTGTCTAAACTTATTACTCGCTTTGCAATCTACAATTTCTGAGAGTCCAGTTCTATGTTTTGGTATTCCTAGGCTTTATGACCTAGAGTTACAGATTGGTTATAGGAAATTCGAGAAAGTGGATCTCAAACAATTTTCTTATTGTGTCCTCTTCCCCTTCTGTATGCCCATTTCCCTCTTTTGTTTATGGTGTATATCGAGCTTGTAGTCCCTTAGAGATAATTTTGTTTCCGACAAATTCCGGAGTTCCTTTAATGTCATCACAGTGCCTTCTTTAAGAATTTCTTTCAGATTTCCTTAAAGTTTTATTGTACTAGACAAACGACGCTTATATTCATCCCGCCCTCTTTTTTAGTTTCATTGAAGTTTTCGGAACTAAGGTACACTTCTGCTGGTAATATTGCTTGTAGTGACTACTAAAGTAATACCATCCTACACTTGTCCAAACCATGTTTCCGTGGTTTCTTTATGATAGGTTTTATGTGAAGTGCCAGTTCATTGAGAAATGTATGGATTTGTTTCTGATTCGATATAAATTAATAATTTTAATTAGGTAATGTACTCTTTGATTAAGTCAGGCAATTTGAAATTTGGGGCAAAACAAAAATAGTTAATTTAATGTCGGGGTACATTATACTAAGGATCTGCCTTAATAGAGTTGTTAATAAATATTACAAGCATCTATTAAAACGTTTAATCAGCTTACTATATATTGCACTGAGAATACAAAACAAACCTATAAAAAGCAAAATAATCTCTTGAGATTAACGTATTCGTAATTAAATTGATCCTAAATGCAGATAAGACCGGATTATGCATTTATATTTCATAAAGATTTAAGATCAATCGAATAAATACCTAACGTCTTAAGTAACAGTGAAACCGACAACAATAGGGATTAATTGATTCAAAGTTCGGAGTTTTATTTTTCATCAGAAATGTATTTAAATAGTTATAATCGTTTCACCGAAAAATCTTTATTGTGGATGTTCGATTTTATAGATTAGATTAACTTTAACAGGTTATAATCATAGTTGCCCTATTAGTGCGAAAAATCTGGAAAGAAGTAAAAGTAATCATCAGTCGTTTACGTTTGACAATAAAACACAAAATTCAAACATCAGAATGCTTTGAAGTATAATTTCTCAGAAACTATTTGAGATATCAAGAAATATCAAACATCAGAGAACTCGTGTTTAAAATGGATATCTAACGAAATGTTACTCCATACCAAGGTACCTATATACCTTGCTATTTAAAAAAATGCGTTACATTATATCCGCACAGCGATTAGCGACCATCAAAACAAGCGGGACAAAGAGCAAAATTAACCTCTTCCAGTATTTTACAAACAAATACATAATAAAAGTTTTAAGAATTTTATACCAAACTTTTGGGAGATACGTAACGGAAAAAATTGGTTATAGAAAATCGCTTCTGAATTTTGTACAAAAGTGAAAAAACGATAAAAATTAAAAATTTTCACTCATAAAAACATTATTTATCATTATTGAGGAAATTGTAACTATTCCTAAAAGGTATCAAAAAACCGAGATGAAGACATTTGTTTATTTCACTAAGATGTGCAAGCCGCCAATCAAAATTGCCTAAATTGTATATTTAAAAGAAAATTAAGAAAAATATAAACAGAAAAAACAACGATTACATGAAGTTATTAACCCCGAGATTAATATGAATTTTTGGTTAATGAATGAAGGGGTTTGATCTTGTCTTGTGCATGAAAGTATTTAATTTGTTACCTACCTATTAACACATAAAAATATAAACTTATTTATGTCTATTTACTTATTATGCATGGAAAAAAAAACATTGAAAATTCACACAATTTTTACCAAAAATTTGGACAGACATAAATTGTGTGCGCAACTAGCAATAGATACCTAAATAAAGATAATTGTAAAGTCAGTCGTAGATAAATAATACACCACATATACATAAAATAATTATGTTTGCGATGTTTTTATTAAGTGATAAAAGTGTGAAAACGTACGAAAGGTAAAGAATGCCGATTTGTAGATAAGAATATTGAAAAATCCTTATTAAATAATGATGGGACAGTAACTAATCCTCTCATGACAAGGACAAGTAAAATACTCACCTCAAAATCCATTTTTCTTTTAGCTGCTGCGATATCTTCTTCGGAATCAGTTTCTGGTATGCCATATTCTGCGTTTAGTGCTAAAGAAATTCTACCTACAAGAAAGTTTTTATTATTAAGTAGGTACAGTAGTTATTTGTATACAGGGTGTAACGTAAAGGTTGGGAATAAATTAATCAGTGGATTCTTTAGTTTAAAAAATAAATTTTTGTCATATGAAGTTATGCTCTACGGGTTTTCTTTTCCAAGCTACAGGGCGTTAAAAAATATAAAAAAAAATTAGTTTTTCTCCAATAACTTTCGAACATTAGAAGGTAATGGAATGAAATTTTATCCATAGCTTAATTTGATAATCCCCGAGTAACAGGAAAAAGATTGGCTTTGTAAGTTACTCAGTGGCGTGCGTACGGATTATACCGTAAGGTTTTTCGAAGAAAATTGTGGTAAGCCACTGGTGAAAACATTTTTTTGATATTTTTTTATGATCCACTTTTTATTTTAAACAAAATTACCCTCTTGCGTTTTATTCCTAGCTCTTGTCACTTTTCCGTAAATAAACGTTTTGTAAATACTATTTTTTCCCACTGCTAACATAGGAAAATGAAAATAAAAACATTATGAAGTATGCTTTGACCAAGCCACCAAAATTTGTTTTCAGATGTTTTCAGACAAAACATCAT